TGATAGGTAAAGACATCAAGCATCTATATAAAAAAAAATTATATTGATATGTTCATTTTTGAAAAAGTTACGGCAGTTTTTAGTAAAAAAAATTGAAAAAATTTCGAAAATTAGCGATTTTTAAATTTGTAATTTTTTTGGAGGTTTCCCCCATTTACGGGGAACGAGGGAAATTTTTTCAATTTTGAAGGGTAGTGTCTTCGACTAGATACGATTTGTGATCTTTTGACGTATCGTTGAAAGAAATCCGTTCGGTGAGAGCTGAGAAAAAGTGGTAACAGACACAAAAAAAAAAAAAAATTAAAAATTAAAAATTAAAAAAAAAACACATCTTAGTAAAACCAATACCTTCTCAGCTTCGCATCGAAGCTAAAACGCATCATAGTAAAACCAATACCTTCTCAGCTTCGCATCGAAGCTAATATGTTAGAAAGACGCAGTATTTCCGAGAAATTGTCAAAAGTTAAGTTGAAAAGTTGTTATTTTGAATTCCCCTTGTGAGCAAGTAGAAGGTCTGTTTTTCAAAAAATTTATATCAGATGAGAGAAAAATACTTAAGGTATTTATTTTAAACAAATTATTTTGGATTCGTTCATTTTTCAAAAAGTTATGACTGTTTTAAGAAAAAAAGTTTAAAAAATGTAGAAATTTATCGATTTTAAAAATCGTAATTTTTTGGTGATTTTCCTTATTTACAAGAAACGAGGGAAATATTTTAATTTTTAAGGGCAATGTTTTCAACATATTATTCTTATTTAAATTCATGAACTTGCACGCTGAAAAACAGTATCAATTATTTATTTATTTTTTTTTATGTTTTCCCTTAGTGGCGGTTACGCTGGTTAACTTAAGCTAAATTGTGAGACTCTAAAAAATAATGTAAATTTTTTCATATACATATCACAGACTATAGGAAAAGTATATAACTATCATGACAAAATAGATAGGTATGTCAGCAACAAACGAGTTTTGGACCGTTTGACGCATCCCGCCCTTCTCACCCATAGTAGTGGTTCGCCTCATTTCATTGGCCGTAGGTTTGCCCGCCAAAATACAATTCTTTAAATCTAATAATTGACAGCAACTTTAATATTTTGTATTGTTTTTTATGATACCTTTACCTTTTACTATTATTGATTGATATCAATCTATTGTGATATCTATTTATACTACAATATAAACAAATATGATCAATTTGCAAATTATTTGATATGAAATGATATACCCGGCATGGGTATATTAAATAAAATGAACAGCGTTTATTTTAAGTGGCTTAAAATATTTTGAAAACTTGATATACTTACATACTTTTACTTTTACTTTAATTTATATTTTTGATGACAAAATGCCTGTTTGTGATTTTTCTGGTTGTACTAGTGGTAGTAAAAAAAATCATTGGTAAAAAATAAAAAAATAACTTTGCATCGATTTCCAAAAGATCCAGTCTTGAGAAATTCTGGGAAAAACAAATAAGATTAGGTCAAATAACTAAAAAACCAATAAATTTTGATTCTGGTAAAAAAAGTAACTCTTAATTAACATTGTCATATTTTTTTCAGAATCCTAAATAAATTATACTATTATTTCATCATTATATTTATATTTAGCTGTTTATTATGAGCTTGTTTAATTTCATTTAGCTGTTTGTTCATTGCATATTACAAATGATAATTATGCAATTCATTCTAATAATAAGGATAGGAGAGTTTAAACGAAATGCTATTCATTTACCTTTAAAGTAAGTTTAAAAAAATACGACTGTGAAGTTAGCAATTCCTATATAGCAATTCCTAATCAGATATAAAACTAGAATACACCGCTAGAGGGCGCCACTATTTTAAAATATATGTTTTATTATAAAGTATTTTCCAAAAAATTCCGAAGGGTATTCTTTTAAAAATTATATTCCAAAAAAAAACTTATAAAAATTATAGTAATTTTTATATGGCATTAGTCAAAAATGGTACTCGAGTTTCCAAGTAACCCGTTTAAAAGAAATTGCTGGGCAATAGTATACTCATGAAATATTATTTCTAAATTACACAAATACAGCATTTATTTTACCTACTCAATTATAAATTAAATTACTCTAAATAATAAATTATATTTATAAGTTCACATAGCAAGAATCACGTTTTTCCTTTTAAAGAAAACATTACTCTTCCAAAAAAACATTCATGTAATGAATCTGTAGTAATTACTTCAGCTATGGCTGTAGTTATATAATAAAACGTATTATATATTGTGGTCTACTCTGATATTATCTATTCTGTGATAACATGCAGTGAACGGGAGCGCACTCTATTAATTTGAGCGATTTTTACATTATATAATTCTCAAAAACTGCAAATTGCCAAAAATCTCGTCGACCAAAAATTTGAGGAATGATTGCAAAAGACCCAAAAACGTAAATCCTATTAAATAGTTCCAATATTATGCAATTAAATGAAATTTATCAAATTATTGCATTGTGGTAATTAGCTTTTTTCATTAAAAACAGATATGCATCTTGTGATAACCAAAATCTAGTGATAACCTAGTACAAGCGGCATACAAATATATCTCAAATTTTAATTTAATTATAATGAATTCAAGTATTAGAAATTGTTGCCTTAGTTTTCCTGTGGGTATTTATACAAATACTATAAATATTTGAAATCGTCGAAAATTTTTACATTTTCTCTGTTCAGTTTCAATTTTTATTTGAACTATTGTTTCACGTAAAAGAAGTTTAATAAAGTTATTAAAAAATGTCTGGATTTGAAACTAGAAATGATGGACCTGGATTTGTTGGCATACGATTTTGTCAAGAATGGTATTTTATGTCAAACTTTTATCGATATTAAGTAACAGTTCGTGTGTATATCGAAAATAAAATAATTGTAGTGCTTTAAGATTTTTTAATTTGTTACTAGATTTTAAGATATATATATTTTTTTTGAAGAGCCTGATAGTTTTAAATGTTTATTTTTTATAGTGTTTAAGTGTTTTAACAACTAAACTGGTTTTGAATATTCTAATCAATTTTTTATTATGAAAAGTGTATTCTATATTTTTGTTACTGACTTAAATTCTTATATTTTATTTTCAGCAACAATATGCTATATCCAAAAGAAGATAAAGAACATAAGGTTTTACTGTATGCTGTATGTATATATTTGCTTTATTTTTTGATTATATAAATAATATTTTCTATTAAAAGTAGAAAATTTCTTTTAAGTTCAATAAATAATTATAATAATATTAACTATTACTACTTAAGATATATGTATACCCTTTAATATATTTATTTTCAGTGTCGCAATTGTGATCACAGGCAAATGGCAGATAGCAATTGTATATATGTTAATAAAATTATGCATGAAATTAAGTAAGTATGAAGTATATAAATTTAACAAGGGTAATATCAGTTAAAAGGCTGTTTCAAAAATTTGTGTTGTCCTCTAAAAAATAGTTCAACCATGAAAAACTAAAATCAGATTTTTTTTCTAAATTTAAAATTTGAGTCTCCATTTTTTTTCCATAAAAAAAAAATACTAGAGCATTTTCTAAAATTCTCATTCAATAAGTAGGTGTCACATAATAAAAATAAATATCATTTAACTATATAACAACTGTATAACATTTGAATGTTATTAAGTGAAACAGTTAATGGTAATTTTTCATAAAAATTAAAATGATATTTTTGTATGAAAAATTCTATTATGTGAGTTGACTCTTTTTTTTTTTTATTGAAAATTCGAATTTTTAGTTAAGAGTAAAAACTTAAGTTGTAGGGTTTTAAGGTGAATAAATGTTCCTTAAGTATGACATAGGTACATTATAATTTTGTAAAGTATGGAAAAAGATGAATAATTTAGACGTTTTATGTTTAAAAATTGCTGTTGATACTAATATGGACTAATATTTGATAAAATTTTCAGGAATTATTAAAAAATAATTGATATTTTTTAATTGACTATTAATATACAAGGTTAGTCACAAAGATGTGACAAATGCAATAACTTTTGATTCATTTATAAATTCCTTAAAAATGTTTAAAGAATAATTATTGTTTTAAACTATATTGAAAGCATAATATTTGTTTATTACATATTACTAATAAAAAATAAATTTTTTTTTTTGAAAATAATTTGTTTTACGACTGCAATATTTTTTTTTATATTTATCTTTCAACTAAAAATTTTTAGTGAACTTACACATATTGTATCAGATGTAACATCTGATCCCACTTTGCCAAGATCTGAAGATCATCCTTGCCCAAAATGTAAACATCGAGAATCTGTATTTTTCCAAGCTCAAACTAGACGTGCTGAGGTAAATTATATAGATATAGTTATGAATATTGATATAAAAGTTTAATTTAAATTTTAGGAAGAAATGAGGCTGTATTATGTTTGTACTAATCCTCATTGTATTCATCGTTGGACAGAATCTTCAATTTAATTAGAATTAAATAAAATTAAATAAATAACAAACCCTTAAATAATTTATATTTTTAACAACATCCTCTTATTTCATATGTAATGTTTATAAATTAAGCCAAAATTTTTTTATATAATAGACATTGTACTACATGTATAATTTAAAAATTTAGATCAAATATTTTGTTTAATTAAACATTTTTGAGCAGCAATATGAATTTTTTCATCCAGCTTATCTAAAAGTTTCAATATTATTAAATTAAAAACAATATTTAAGAAAACTACAGTGAGAAACAGCATAATTTTATTGACCTGAAATAGCCTCAATCATGTCAAAATATCAAGTTTGTTCCTTACTTATTACTAGACTTGGAAAAAAATAGGAACACTTAATGATAAAACATTGGTCTTAAATGTAATTAATTGATATTTTTGTCATATTTAGGCTTCGGGATTTTATGCATTTATAAAGTTTATTTTAGTAATCCTGAATACAACAATGATTAATAAATATTCGTTTTTATTTTTGTTAATTCTAATAAATTTATATTAATTAGAATTTTAGTTTTTAGGTGGTGTGAGAAGATTACTCCTCTCCCCTATAGCAAAAAAGCTATTGTATATACCTATAATACATTTTTATGGAGTTAGGTATCTTAGAAGTGGTTTAAACCAATTTTATAAATGCATAAAGTTCCATACCGTAGTCATATTATTAAATACATTAATATTAAGTATACTTTCATTCAAAGTATAACTCAAAACGAAGTTTACCTTTATTTGGAATATAGTTATGAGAGAGGAGCTCTATTCATTATGATGAATAGAAAAAAAGTGTATGAAAAACTAACTTCAAAAAATAATGCTGTATCTAATTTATCTATCATGATTCTTTAACATTATACTTTTCTATGCAGATTAACTCAGATACTTTGATCTTTTTTTAAAGAAAACTGAGTACCATAATAAACATGTTTATAGGAGTACATGTAAATATTTAACTGTTGAAAATAGCCTTCCAATTGGAATAAGACTTACATATTTTGTGACTTCCTTTGATAGGAAAATTGTTGATCATCATGATTGGGTCTTTACATATAAATACAAATGGACTTTCATTTTCTCCTTCTGGATATTGTTCCATATATTCTTCTTGAGATAAACAGTCAGTTATATTTATACAACCCATTAAACAACTTGTTGGATATTGCTTTGGGAACTCAACATCTACACTTGAAAAATTACATTAAGAATCTTAAAAGTTTTTAAAAACACTGTTTCAATTACCGCCTCTTAAATTTTTATAAAATAATTCTACACGATCAATTTCTTCTGGTGTTGGTACCTTAGCAGTTGATGCTATCCATAATCTTCCTCGATGTGAAGTATACCAAGATCGCCCTTCATGACTAAATTATTAAAAATTTGTAAGTGATTAATTTATGATAAAAAAAAAAATAAACTAAACTAACCGTTTTATATTCAATAATAGAAGGGAAGCATATGGTTGATGCATACTCATACATAAGCCTGGATCTGTCATCAACATAAGTTCTGTATCTTGAACTCTCTTAATCACTTCATTTTTATAAATTGAATTTATGTTATTTCTATGAATTTTTTTCATACAATTTTCATTAAACTAAAATATAATAAATTTTAACTTTAATTTATAACCTAAAAAACTTATAAGATTATAAATTTAACCTTTAAATCCAAGTTCATCAGAGGATTGGTTATCTGTTCATTAATATTAACCCAATATGTTTCTTTACCATCATTCATAAGTTCTTCATCTTCATCATTATCCGATTCCTTTTTTTCATATACTTGTCTCCCTAAAATGAAAATACTCTAAATAATTAAACCAATTAATAAAATAAACTACACCAAAAATACCAGCAAAATCAATTGTAATTTTTTTTGTTCTCCTAGAACCATGTTTTTTTTCTTGTCTTTGTATTTCTTTTTTTTTTAATTGATCTTTTTGTTCAGAAGACAACCATCCACTGTTAACTGAATAATAGTCCATTTGGTCATCAATTACATTTGTACGTTTAGCACTATATTTTAAGATAAAATTCCCAAGTTGAATTTTTCAATTAAATATATTTTAGCATATATATAAAATAAAACAAACAATTTTAAATAAATATAGAAACCCTGTAGTTGATATTGGGATTTTTAATTAAAAAGTTATCTTCCAAGCATTTATTAATCATTATTTATAGAAAAGCACAATAATGTGTTTGCTATAAAAGCATTTCATATAAATAGTACTTTTTTTTCACCATAATAAACATTGATGATTTTTATTTTTGGTACTTTATTATTTTATAATAATTATAATAATTTTTTTGAAATACACCAACTATTGTTTAGAATTTCCTAATGTTAACCAACTAAACAGATTAAAAAAGGGGNTAGCTATCTTAGATTTTTTTTTTACATTTTATTTAAAATTTAAAAATAATTAATATTTTTTATAAAATGTAAAAATATTAATTTTTGAGATATAGCTATAGACCTAACATATAACTATTATTTAAAAAAAAAATCAACTAAAAATATTAACTGGATCAAAAGTTATTTAAGTTGTCAGTGAGTGGTGGGCCACCCTGTATATCTGTTTTATTGTATATTATTTTTTTTGTGATGATATAGGGATGGGTTATAATAAAAATATAAACATAAGAAACCTTATGGTTGAGGGTTTTAAATAAAGAATATGAAAAAAGTATCACAAATTTGATAGAAAACATACAATTGTATCTTATTTTTCAATTTCATTATATCAATTTTCAAAGTAATCTCAACATACATTTTTTTTATTATTTTCTAAGAAAAATTAACTACAAATAAATTTCATAAATTAACAGGTGATATAAAAAAAAAATCATTGTCATTTTTATAGTTATTTTTAAAACTACATTACTATTTTACTGTCCTACCATGTATATGTGATTTACCTAGTTCGATCAAACTCTAACAATTTATTACGATGTTCAAAAGCTTCATTTTCAGCTTGGGTGTTAATAGTTTGCTCTATCAATCTGTTGTACAATTCTTTAGATTTATTATTTTTACAATTCAATAAAATTTTTTCATCATTAGAACAGACCTGTGTGAATAAAAACAATTACTAAAAACTCATGAATTTCCAAAAAATATTGATAATAACCAGTACTTGTAAGTTTATGCAAATATAATTTTTTTTACTTTTTAGTCAACCATGATAAGTGAGCTATAAACCATTTCATAAAATTATTAATAAAAATATGAATTTTGATTGTGTGTATTTAGCATAAAGTTGATTTTTTGAAGTTATTAGTCATATCATTTACCATGACTTTATGGGGAATATTTTTTTATGAAAATAAAAAAATTATCTAGACAAATAAACACTTAAATAATTTTTTATTTAGTCATTTCCTAATATGTTTACAAAATCTTAGTATTTATGCAGTTTATTTCTATTCTTTTATAATACTGAGTGGATTTTATGAGTTTTAAGCAGTTCAATGAAATCCATGTTATTGCACTATCACCATTACCCTCTGCTGAATCAAATGTGTGTTAGCTATTTGCTAATTTAATTTAAAAATTTTTAAGAATTTAAATCTATCCAAGAAATGAATGGGAACTATTTATTGTATTTTAAATATGCATTACTTATTCATCAGACATAAAAATATAATTTTCAGTGTTAAAAATGTATTGAACGAAAATCATCTATCTTTTAAGTTAGAAAACATAAAAAATATTGATAGCTTAGTGTAATTTTTCAGGTAGATATAAAGTTCTTCAAAAATCATAGTTGAGAAGATACTAAATACACAAATATTTTAAAATTTAATCATTTACTTTTCAATATTTTTATTTTAATGATTAAAAAACTATCATAAAAAGAATTAATGTATGAAAATTACTAAAACTTTTTTATTTATACTTGTGATTTTTACTTGTATAAAAAAAATGTATTAGTTTTTTTATTTATAATTGTTAACACTTTTTACTTAAATGTTAAAATTTATAAAGAAAATAAACTACACAATTTAAATATATAAATGTATATTTCTAGTTATTTTATTATGCTTAGTTTAGATTCTAAGTGAAAGACACCAGGTAATGAGTCTTAGGGGGTAAGCATTTTTATGTTTTTAGTGCATATTTGAATGCTACTTTTTAAAGTTTTATAGAGCATGAACTTACAAGCTTTAATAATAACTTACAAACAAAATATACATTATTATTTTATGTAATATAATTAAATTTTATAATTAATTACAATTAATCATCATATCATATTTATTTAATAATTCTAAAAAGATTATTATAGAATCATACTAAATTATTTTATTTTTGTATACTATTAACACGGATATAATTTAAATATTTATGAAAATTACCAATTCACTACAAACAACACATGGACCAGAACCTTCTTGTTTACATACTATTCTACCACAACTTAAACAATTATTAATTAAACCATGTTTTGATGCTTGACAGTCACACTTATGACGACCTATTTTAGAAATCATATTAAACTGATAGAAGAAAATAAATATAACAATGCAATTACCCTTTAAAAATATTTCCTGACGATTAATGCCTTCATTTGAAAATATATTAACATACTTTTTATTCTTTGATTTTGTTAAATTTGACTACCATAATACAATTTAATTTAAAAGAAATGAAAAAACATATATAAAAAGTTTATTTTTACTTTTGGTATTTTTCCTAAGTCTGTAGATAAATTTTGATTTTTAATGCTCGTTTGTTTTTTATTTTTATTAGTTTGCATAAATTCATTTTTTGATGATTGGTGTACTATAAAAAAATAAATGTCACTACATTTTTTTTACAATTTAATAATTTTATGAAAAATATTAATCTAAAATTTACATAAGCGAAATCTTTTCTTTAAATCACTTAAAAACTGTTTATGAACTGAAGATTTAAGATCCAATAGTGAATTACAATATTCATCTAAATCATTTTCAGTTTGTATAGAAAAAATATACCTATAAACATAAAATACATAAACATGAATTGGAAACTTCATTAATTACTACTAAGATGATATTAAGAAGGGATCCAGTGAAAGATAATACCCAAAATCTATTTAGGTATGAGCAACCTAAACTGTAAAACCCAATAATTTTTCTTCGTTATAATTCAAAAAAATTTTTGTCAATCTACTTAAACTTTATCAATAAATACCATAATCTATATATTTATCATGTTAAAATATGTCTATTAATAATTAATAAATAAAAAATTACAAGGAAAATGATTGATTTATTTTTTCATGTTGTTTAATAAAAATGTTAAAGTTTTTACAAAGGATTAAAAACTATATATTTTTTAAGAACATTTAATTCAGTAAAACCATTAGTTTAGATCATTGTGCTATTATGCTTAAATATTGCAATAGATTAGGAATTTTTAAAACAAAAAAGTCATGAAGTTTAGTTAATTTCTGATTTAGTTATGAATTGGATCAATTTTTTAAATTTTTTTCCTGACAATATTTTTGTTTCATGATTTTTTGTATTTGTTCAATACAGATTCATGAAACATAGAAATATGATGATAAAATTACTCAGCCATTTCATTTTGAACTTCAAACTGTAACAAAGCAGACAGTTTATTACATATCCATTGCTTAAATTCTTCTTTCGACATTTTTTTTTTCAACTTTACAGCATTTATTTAAAGTTCTTTCAATATCACTGTTTTAGATTATCAACTAAGAATTATAATGCACAATTATTTATAAGAACTACAGTATTCTAAAAACGTGTAAAGTAATAAAATTTAAGGATAAAAACTTTAAACCACCCTAGAACAAGATAATTTAAAATATGATAAGATTTATTATCACATAGAAGTCATATTATTAAGATCAATACTGTTTTCAAAAATAAAATATTAGCATGGTCCTTTATCAATAATATATTTAAAAGTGTGAGGTTTTTCGGAAAATATTCAAACTAAAGATGATGTATCTAATTATTTAACAATTAGTTTAAGTAGACCAACTTGATTTCAATGAAATGAGATGAACGATTTATTTTAAAAATATTAAATTTTAATTATTAACTATGAAATATAATTACAATACACTAAAAATAAATTTTAATGATCCAATATTTAACATGTTGTATTAAATCGAATTTTGGTAATTTTTTTCTTCAAGTTTTTTGAAATTCTCCATCTCTACGTTTTATACTATTAATAAAAACGATTAATTTGAAAATTGTTTAATAGTCTAGTATCTATATGAATATGATACTGGAGTATTTTCATTTTGGTTGTTATGTTGAGTATAAAAACCATTAATGTAGATGGCAAGTTATAATGAGGAACTTAAACATTATAATCAAGAGCAGACTTGGCAATAAACGGCGTAGCTAAATGTACTACTGGTGCAGCTTGAACACTGTAAGGCGCATCTGCTATTCTGGGAGCAAAAGGAATAATTGGTTGTTGGGCGACAGGTAAAACGCCGGCATTTGAGGAGGTAAAAGCTGATTTAAGAGCGAATGAAATTGTTGCAGAATTGCTAACTGGTTCGCGTTTCACGTCGGCGACAAAACCATTGATCTTGTCTGCTTTGTATGTGACAGTTCGTAGATAACCATCAGCATCAAGTACTCTGTAGAAACCAGTTACTGAGTCGCCAGATCTGCTTTCTTGCTGATCCTTCTGATCGCCAGTTATCTCATTATTTACTGAATAACCGTAGTTAACATTTGTCAAATCTTCAGCAAAAACTATCCAAGCCCATGCCGATATAAATAAAACTATCTAAAGGAAAAATAAATTCAACGAATAATTAAATTAATTAACCCGTTGGTTAATGCTGCCTCTGTCAATGTCTTTTATAAAGTGTATTTACCACAAGATATATTATACATTTATGATTCAACATAAGTTATGTGTCAATACTCACTTTGTAAATGTTGTACATATCTAAAAATGGATGTGAGAATCAATTGACTATTATCAAAACTACTTTTAGCAGGTCAGTGCTGTAGTTCACTATTGGTGTATGAAGAATAACTGTAGACTAAATAGACATTAGACAGGGTTTAAATAGGAAACTCAATTCTACAAAAATGTCATCATTCTAATCTGTAAAGTGTTGCAAACTATTGAAATCAAGTTGGCCTTCTTGAACTAATTGTTAAATAATTAGATGTATCTAATAATTACCATAATATTTATCTCGATGTAAAAAAATAATTTATTAATTGAAAAGATAAATTGATATTCTAAATATTAGCGATGTATTAGGGGGGCCTAAAAGAGCTAAGTCTAAATTCCCGTGTTACACCTATACATATATATTTTACGTAAAAATCACTAACATTTTTTTGGTAATAGACCTCCCACAATGAAAAATTCTGACACACGGCACTGCTAAGTATTAACTACATATGTAAATAATAACTTATTGAAAATAAATTTGTTTTATGTATAAATGGGCGTTTGTGTTAAAGGAAAATTAAGGTTTTTATCAATTCTATGATGTTTTTTCAAAATTTTTTTGTTCACACTTGTATTGAAGACTGTACTGGATTTATTTATTATAGTGAAATTTCAGAAAAACAAACACAAAACATAATTTGCTCTAATTTTTATCAAAAAACTAAAATTTTTAAATCGTAAGAGTAATTTTCCCTCAGTATTAACTGTCATAAATTTGTAATTTTTTTGCTATAAACATTAGTTTTAGTAATGCCTAAAATCTTTACTAATGGCTAACAGTAGTCATATTTTTACATAATTAGTATAATTTATAAACAATTAGTGTTATAATTAGTTAGTGTGAAGTATAATTATATTGTGCTATGAACATATTTCTTATCTATAGTTTATTCAAATTAAAAACTTCATATATAAAGATAAAAAATTTTTAACCTAAGAAGACATCAATATTATTTTTCGTGTTTTCTTTGTTAGTGAGAGATTCTCCTATTTTTTCAAGGTCCTAATTTCAAATTCTATTTCCGCCTATAGTACTATAGTATTAATTAACGTATACATTTTTTAAATACTTACAAAACGTTATTAACATTAAAATAGTTTCAAAAATACTAATAATTCTTAAGTTATAAATTATAACTGTAATGGATAATGTAACCGGAAGTTTGAGTGTTGCATAAATTTTTGATAACAGATTAAAAATTATTTTTAGGATAAATTACATTATTGACCTTTTTTTTATTTTCGTTTAGCCAAAAGCAAATTTAAGATAGTTCACTCTTAAGTTAAAGGTTTTATAATATGGTTCATGTAAAAAAAAAAATTGACTACTTGACTTGACATTTATGTGTAAATAGCCTCCAAAATTAAACCATAAATGTTATTTTTATGTAAAATTTCACTGTTTTTCTTACTGCTACTACAAGTTTTTTTTAATTATTACTGATTATAATTTTAATCAAACAGTATAGACTTAAAGAGGGTTAGTATTTTTATAAACCCTATAAATGCCTCTTTAATTTGACATAATTTTTTTTTGATAATCTGACTCCTCTGTATATATTTAGTGTTTAAAATTTTAAACATACATAAAAAAATAAAAATTTTTCATCTTTAGTTTGAACATTTTCCGAAAAACCTCCACTTTTAAATATATTATTGATAAAGGACCATATTAATATTTTATTTTTGAAAACAATATTGATCTCTGGACTTCTATGTGATAATAAATCTTATCGTGTTTTAAATTATCTTGTTCTAGGGTGGTTTAAGGGATAAGGGTAGCTGACACCAAGTAGTTGGGATTAAAAGAAAGAAAAAGAAGAATAAAAATTAGCCAGTATATATACAGAGTGGAACGGATTTAATTGACAACTCATATAACATATGATCTACATAACATTTTATATTTTTGTTTTTTTTAATCAATTTTTACAATATAGAACTATATTTAAAATATGTTTTATATTATTTTACGCAATTACAAAAAATATTTTAAAAATTAATTTCTTTTTTAAATTTTTTTTAAGATTTTAAGATAGCCATTTTATAGATAAGTTTTAAAGAAAAATTTTGATACCAAAAACTCTTATTTTAATTCAATAGTTTTTACAGCATTTTGAAGTTAGTCAAGTTAAAAGTGATATTAATTATTAATTCGCGTGATTCCATCATTGTAATCTTATTATTTTAGGATATTCCTTGTTAGGAGATTTGATAATAAATGCACTTATTCAATATTATTCACGTTTCAATTTATGATATATGAACTTATTTAATAAAAATTCAACATGTTTTAGACAATGTTTCTATAATTTTTTTTAATCTTAATTATACTACTAATTGTTTTTTTATGACAATTACAAATACTTATTCAAATGTTAATAATTTTCATGGAAAAGAAATCGCATACAGTTACCAGTAAATAATGTAATAAGTGTTTACTTCTGTACTTCACATAATATGGATTAACATTTGATACCATAGGAAAATTGTAAAAAAAAATCAAACTTTAACAAACTTCAAAATGCTGTATAAACGTAACTATAAAATGGCTATCTTAAATTCTTAAAAAAAAATTTAATAAAAAAATGAATTTTTAAAATATTTTTTGTAATTGCGAAAAATAACATAAAACATATTTTAAATTTAGTTCTACAGGGTGTTCAGTAAGTCAGGAAACGGGTTTCTATTGTTCTCATTGTTTGTAACAAATCAATTTTTACAATATACAGGTAAAAATTGATTAAAAAAAATAAAAAGTATAAAATATTATGTAGATCATAAGTAATATGAGTTGTCAATTAGATCCGTTCCACTCTGTATATACAATGTGATTGATTAAGGATAAGACAATGATTTAATCAAAAACTGAATATCTTCAATTTTTTGTAAAGAAAAAATACCGTTTGTTTCTGAAAACTATAATTATAAATAGTTAAATAATTTTATTCCTTCTTTTAGATTATTAAAGTTAAGGTTTTCTATGTTCTTTAATATGTTCTAAGAACCCCTAGTTTTAGTTTGATGATAATATTGAAAATATTATTTTAAACAATTTTTTATAATAATAAATTCTTATAACTATTTTTATTCTATCAACCGTTTACGCTTTAGTTGTTTAACATATTGATAGACATGACTGCTATAGCAGTCACGCTCTTGGCTGTAATTAAAGATTCACTTTAATATCTCATTAATAATTGTTTGGAATAAAAAATGCGTCAGAGCTTTTTTTATTTATAAATATGATACAAAAATAATGAAAACAAAAAAAAGTGTAACTGCTGTAGCAGTTGTAGCTCACTTGCGACTTTTTTCTTCTCGTATAACCACATGACTGCTATAGCAGTTACGTAAATAAATTTATATTTTTGTGTTAAAATTTATTATTAATAATACATTTTATGTAATTCGTAATTATGTATAAATTAATATAATAACTCGCACATTTCAAAAAAATCCTTTTTATTTATTTATACTTATCAACATGATAATTATTATAATATATCCATTTTATTATAACAATAAAAAAAATGCATTTGATATATAGTTTTTAAATAGTTAAAATTATTTATTTACATGATAATTTGAAAAGCAGGGTCCTGGACAAAATGGTAGATTTGATGGACAATCTTTGCACCATCAAGACGTATTTTTTCTAATTTTTTTCTTGTAACACTCTCGACAACTCAAAAAGTATGTTTTCCTTGGCCAGTCTTGAGAAAAATCAAAAAAAAAAAAAATTAAATTCATTACAATTATTTTACACATAATATAAAATATTTATCTTATCCTCTGGTAATGGTATCTTCTCTTGTGAGTGAAATTGAATGTTCAAATTATTGCTGCTTTTTCCTTTATCCTTGTTGACCAATTGACGTCCATTTGCTATGTGAGTTGGTAAGTGAATAAGTTTTCTGACAACTTCAC